AGGCGGTCTCTCAGGTAGCCAGGTCCTATACCATGTAGGGCTTTAAAAGTAACCACTAGCACCTTGAAGCATGTCCAGAGACCAATGGGAAGCCAGTGCAGTTCGCAGAGGATAGGTGTGACGTGGGTGTACCTAGGTGCACCCACAATCGCTCGCGCGGCTGCATTCTGGACTAACTGAAGTCTTCGAACACTCTTCAAGGGCAGCCCCATGTAGAGCGTGTTACAGTAGTCCAGTCAGAATTCAGAAATTCATGTGATAAGATGGGTATTCAGTTTTAATTTAATGTACTTATCATTTCTTTTAGCCCAAACATATGTACCCAGAGCAATTTTGGTGGACTTGGAACCAGGAACCATGGATAGTGTTCGATCTGGCCCTTTTGGACAACTCTTTCGGCCTGATAATTTTATCTTTGGTATGTTGACGATATTCTTTTACAAAAAGGAAACTTTTCAAGGACAATGCTTTAAATACATGCAATGGACAACGCTCATGTATCCTTGCACATTGGCAGCTTTGGTGGGTTCCTCTTGTTTCACATTAACTCCAAATGTAACAAAACTTTATACAGCTAGCCAATACATTTTTCTATAGCGCTGGCGGATTAATCTTGAATTTTTAATAAAAGGTTTTTTAAAATGTGAACTGGAAAACCTATCCATCTCTGCACTAATGGTTTAAATGGAATTCCTGTTTTCTAGTGTCTGTATACCACAATGTACCTGAGTGTAAAATTATATGAAACATTTCTAAGAATGTTTTGGCTATTATTTGGCAGTTACAATTCTCAATATATGATAACACTTCTTGACAATGTTTAAATTTGTCTACATTTTGGAATGGTGACGATTCATCATTACAGATATTTTGAGTCTGTTTCATGACTTAGTAAATTTGACCTTTTTCCTATCATTTCAGGACAAACAGGTGCTGGAAATAACTGGGCCAAAGGACATTATACCGAAGGAGCAGAACTTGTAGATTCAGTGCTTGATATTGTGAGAAAAGAATGTGAACACTGTGATTGTTTGCAAGGATTTCAGCTCACTCATTCTCTTGGAGGAGGAACAGGTTCTGGGATGGGAACACTTCTCATCAGCAAAATTCGAGAGGAATATCCAGATAGGATTATGAATACATTTAGTGTCATGCCATCTCCCAAAGTGTCTGACACTGTGGTAGAACCATATAATGCCACTCTCTCAGTCCATCAGCTGGTTGAAAACACAGATGAAACCTACTGTATTGATAATGAAGCGCTGTATGATATTTGCTTCCGTACTTTGAAGCTTACCACTCCAACATATGGAGATCTCAACCATTTGGTGTCTGCCACAATGAGCGGGGTGACAACATCACTGCGTTTTCCTGGCCAACTAAATGCAGATTTACGCAAGTTGGCAGTAAATATGGTTCCATTCCCACGCTTACACTTCTTTATGCCTGGATTTGCTCCTTTGACTGCCCGAGGCAGCCAGCAGTACAGAGCACTTACAGTTCCAGAGCTCACTCAGCAAATGTTTGATGCCAAAAACATGATGGCAGCTTGTGATCCAAGACATGGACGATATCTGACAGTGGCCACAGTCTTCCGAGGCCCCATGTCCATGAAAGAAGTTGATGAACAGATGCTGGCCATCCAGAACAAGAACAGTAGCTACTTTGTAGAATGGATCCCAAATAATGTCAAAGTGGCTGTTTGTGATATAGCGCCTCGTGGCCTCAAAATGGCCTCTACTTTTATCGGAAACAGCACCGCCATTCAAGAGCTCTTCAAAAGAATTTCAGAGCAGTTCTCGGCCATGTTTAGGAGAAAGGCTTTTCTTCACTGGTTTACTGGTGAAGGTATGGATGAGATGGAATTTACAGAAGCAGAAAGCAACATGAATGATCTAGTTTCTGAGTACCAGCAGTATCAAGAAGCAACAGCAAACGATGGAGAAGAAGCATTTGAAGATGATGAGGAAGAAGTTAATGAATAAACTTAATACAGTTAATAAAGTTAATTCTCAAGTCTGAAGTGTTTGCTTTAGTACTAATCATTTGCCTGATATTAAGAACATCATAGTGCTTAATTTTCAAAGAATTTATTTAGCCATTTTCTCTAGAACGGATCATGAATGCTTTGCATCAAAAGTTAAGCTAAGGATTCCCCTGATTTATTTACTTGCTCAATGGGGTTGTGAGAGCAAGACTTTAACACACATGTACACGGCCCAAATTCTGCAAAATGAGCATTATCTCTCCCATATTCACTGGGTTGGCTGAAGCAGCAAAATTGAGTCTTGGCCATTTAAAGATAGTGTCATAATTGTAGTTTATAAATTACAGAACTGCCAGTTATAATGGGCTTATGAGTGCACTTCATTTGACTTGGTGTTAGTGCACATAAATAAACATTATACTGAAATAAGTAATTGTATCCAGCTCTTTGAAAGAAATGGAGATTTTTTTCTTTTATGAAAGAATATCTCCCCCGCCATCAAACTGAAACAATTTACACTGTAATCCTATGCATGGTTACTTGAAAATAAATATTTCTTACTCTAAATGGGATTTAGGTAAAGGTAAATGTTCCCCCGCACGAGTGCTAGTCATTTCCAGCTCTAGGGGGAAGTGCTCATCTCTGTTTCTAAGTCAAAGAGCCAGCACTGTCCGAAAATGTTTCCGTGCTCATGTGGCCGGCATGATTAAATGGCAAAGGCACATGGAGCACTGTTACCTTTCCACCAAAGTGGTCCCTATTTTTCTACTTGCATTTTTTACATGCTTTCGAACTGCTAGGATGGCAGAAGCTGGGACAAGTAACGAGAGCTTACTCTGTTATACGGCACTAGGGATTCAAACCACTGAACTGCTGACCTGATCGACAAGCTCAGCATCTTAGCCACTCAGCCACCGTGTCCCTCAAATGGGATTTATATCCAAGTAAATGTGTTTCAGAATTGCAGTGTTACTATGTCTTTGTTCTTTTGTACCATGTAGACTTGTTGGGAACAAACTCCATTAATTAAAAATAATTTTAAAATATAGTCTTCTGCATATTCCATATTTATAATTAATGCTTCAACATTGGTGTTTTGGAATCTTTAAAAAAATAACCTCCGAGGAAGTGAATGATTCTTTTGGAAGCTGACGCCTTACATTTCATTCAGAGGTTGCAGGACCACATGTACCCTAACTAATTCTCAGAATTCTTTCAAACATTGTTACTAATTTTCCACTTTACATGTGATAGAAAGCATTAAAAACATTCCATGTGGCTTAACTACAGCAAATGGAATTTTGTTACATTGAAATGTAAATTAATTCCCATGTTCTCTTTCTGGCTCCAGCAACTTTGCCTTTAGCCCCACCTACCTCTTTTGTAGTGCTACCAAGCACGGCACCAGTCATTCTCTTGAGTAATCCCCATCACGTGAATGGACCAGACAGGTTGTCTGAATAGTTGTCAGCACATTCCATAAGAATTCCAGTCTACTTCACTATCCGCCCCATTAGATTTTCCTAAATGCTATGCCTGTCCTATGCTGACTTTGGACATTTTGGAGTAGATAGTATGACACTTAACCAGCACCAAGTGAAACAGCACTTTCCAGCTGAACTCCCATTCTAGGCTGCAAAGATGAACCTCCAAGTGTGTGCAAATGAAATAGCTACTACAGGAACCTAATGATGAAGGCTGGGTTCTCTCAGATCTTTCATTAGCTATCTAGCCTTTTCGATCCTTGATTCTTGTGCTAGCTCTTGTCACAATCCAGATGATGTGCCATTAACGGTTGAATTTTTAATATCTTCTTTGAAGATCTCCAAACATGATTTTTTTTAGTGCAGCCACAAAATGGACTGGATTTTTCATGGGTCTATTTTCCACAATCTTACTATCCTTGTTTTGTCACATATCCATAACATACTCGCAAGCTACAGATTTTGCCCCAATGTTCTTCCTTTGATAGTTGCTTCTACTATTTATTGCTTTTTAGATTGATGTTGTGGGAACACTTTTCCATTCTTCTCTTTTTACTGAACTAGATACTTTTGCAGCAGTAGTCATGTCTTCTTTCTGCTTAATACCAGGTAATTTATGAGCAAGTTAAAGGATCTGTTAGCAAAGATTCCCAGTTTTTTCTTGATTGTCAGCTATTCAGATTGCATTCTGTTCTAATTACTAATGTGTAAAAGGAACTCCAGCTTCTTAGTCTTAAATACTCTTTGCTAATGAGAGATCCATCCATCCTTTCTTGCTTGTGCAATCTATCTATGGTTCTGAACAGGAAGATCGGTATGCACATGTGTGTGTGAGCTCATATGATTTTACTTAATATCTAGATAACAGTACAGAGCAGACTACCATACTTCTTGATGTTATTTTTCATGTCAATTTACTACAGTAGATGGTACATGATGAATTCTGATTTTTCTCATCTCACAACCACACTTTATCAGTATGTCTATGGGTCTACTAATCTTCAAAAAGTTACCATGTAATCTTTTGTGTCTACATTTTTGTAGTTATTAGAAATCTAATATGGTTGTATTGTCTCATTACTGGCCCAAGGATCCAAGAGAATCTGCCTGTTTGCACAGTCCAGTGTGCTGATTTTATTTGATGTTTCTAAACTGTATTTACAAAATACATTTGTATGCTCAATATTTTACAATCTCATGTAGAAAAAAAATCCACACTTTATTAAAATTGCAGTAATATAATTTAGATTTTACACTTCATTGCAGCCACAGACCCATACTTCTAATGAATAAGCTCTTTAGCAGGTTCCCAGTTTGATCACCGACATCTGCAGAGTCTTTTTATTGAACAAGAGAAAGAAAGAAATTTAAATCGGTGGTTGAAAACTATGTGCTTTAACAAAACAAACATATTTAGGCAATGTGGGATCCCGGGAAATACTCTTATGATCCAAACCAACAATTTCAGGATATTAACAACTCACATTTGGTAGAGGTGATCAAAAGAATATTTTTTTTCCAGTTTTCTGGGAAGTTGTACATTCTAGGGCAGTTTAAATATATCAGGTTACACAATTGTGATACAGATCTGAAAAGCTGCAACTCTAGAATTGATTCAATGTAGACCCATTAGTTCTATGAACTATATTTTTTAAATCAGGAATTCTGGGAAACAAGCTTTCTGTAGATTCTGAATACTCTGTAGAGGGGAAAATCCACCCTTGATAGCCTTCTTCCATAAAGCAGAGGATACTTGGACACCAGATTTTTGAAGGGTTTCCTCTTTACTTTTCAGTGCGCAACATAATACTGTGTCACTTTTATGTACACCACCATCATACTGCAACACTAAAAAGGCACATGTCCTCTGATCTGCCTGGCAGTTCCCTCATCTGTTGCCTCTTCTTTCTCCTCGCGTTCTTTGTTCCAGTCTTTAAGGCCTTCTGGAAGTGAAGTATCTTCATCTAAGCTGCCCGTGCCTTCAACAAATTCTTCATAGGTAGATTTTTCAGCAAAAGGTCGGGGGCCAAGCATTTCAACCATATCACTCTTATCCAAAACCTCTTTTTCTAAGAGCCTTAAAGCCACCTGAAACAATAGACATGCACGTATTAGAAGGAACTTCAGCCTCTAATCTTAATATAGTGCTTATGGATAAAAGAAATTCCAAATTTTAAAAACTATTAACTCTGCTGAACATCTTCTGAGCTGATTACAGTACTACTTTTTACAAGGTCTTCCAGATTAGAAAATGCATAATAAACTCTGCATCTCTGTATTCCAGTATTTCAAGCTTTCCAAAAACAAAATGCATAACTTTTATTCTGTTATGACTAAAACACCATCATTTATACTAATGAGATATCTGGAAATAACATTTCTGCTGCTGTCAAAGCTTTTGGTCAGAGATTATGGCTATTATTTTTGTATAATTATACTTTTGAACAAATAACACGATATATTAATAGATACAGATTTTTCTGATACACAGAGCTTACTGAAACTCCACTACCTTAATTTCACATTGGAGGTAGGCAATTTTCATTTGTTTCTGTTCTTATACCTACACTCTTAAATAATAATTCTTGGTAACCAGGTGATACTGGAATTTGAAAGGAAAAAGGAGTTGGAAGAAATGACCATCCCCATTTCTTTCATCAACTGGAAGGAATTCTTATGTTCTCAGAAAAACAGGTTTGGACTCAAATCAGCAACCGTCTTTTAACCTACTTAGGTAAGAATCATTAAGTAGGACAAGAATGCATACCTTTTCTACCTCAGCCTTCTTTTCATTAAGTAGAAAGAGTGTCCTTTCATAAGCTTCATTAATAAGTATTCGCACTTCATCATCTATCAATCTTGCAGTTGCTTCACTGTAGGGTTTTTCTAACACCATGTCTCCTTGCCGGGGAAGATCGAATGAAATTTGGCCAACTTTTTCATTCATTCCAAACTGAACAATCTGAGGATTGAACAGCAGAGTAGTTAAGCGATTTTGATAACACTTAATCAAGAATCTAATATTAGTGGGTAGCTGTTTTCGGCGATAATATCTTAGCTGACAAGCTGACCAACATTAACTGTTGATATGTTAATATGAAGTTGGCTTCTGAACAAGAACAGATTAAAAGTCCCAGTAAGAACCTCTGGCGGGGAATCGCTGGCCAAGAGCCATGTTCTGACTTTTGAAAAACTCTCAGGAAGAAGGATTGTCCATTTGCATTTCCATAATTATTTAGTTCTGAAGTCAATAGTACAGGCAATAGAAAGTATCATGCTGATGTAACATCACTGAAATGCATGGAACCTGCTCAAGAATGCAATACACACACCTGTGCAGCAGTTCCCATTCATTCCTGTGTTCTCAGAGAGATGCTTCGGAAGAGACTCTTCCTGGATTTCACCCAATACAGCCTGTAAAGGGGATGAGGCACATGCTTAATGGCTATCCAGGAAAGTTCTGTTTAGCAATAAGACAGGCCCAATCTAAGCTGCTATGAGGCAACCCAAGCATTTCAGCATAAGTCTAATTCCCCTGATTGCAGTTAATGTCAGTAGCCTAAAAGCCATTTAATTGGGAGATGCTAATCAAAATTATATAGTACTTTGGAAAAGGGTAGGTGATAAAATTTAAATGACCAAATAGGATTTTTAATTTTTGCATGAAGAAACAGAATTTTGGGAAGACAGCAAACTCTTTTTCATTTAGCATTTAGCAGATTTCAGATGAATCTTTGAGAGAAACTGTGGTATTGTCAGAAGATATTAAGAGGAAATAGCATGTACCAGCAATATTCTTGCTAGGCAAGATTTCTACAAAGGTGGTGAAAACACCAAGTAAAAATACAGACCTGAGCATATGCACTCTGAGTAACTTTCTTTAGGTCATCTTGGGCCCCTGTGGTAATTTTTCCGAAGAAGATTTGTTCTGACACACGTCCTCCCAAAGTCATACACATTCTGTCTAGAAGCTGTTCTTTGGTGTACAGATACTGTTCTTTTGGCAAATATTGAGCATAGCCCAGTCCTTTCCCACGAGGAATAATAGATACCTTATGTCAGAAGAGAAATAGATACCTTGTGTCACAA